ACATATTAGATACACACAACTTACCTAGCAAACACTCTACAGAGCTAATAAGAAAAAGACTAGCTAGAAATCTCATCTCGTAAAAGTTATGCATGTTACTTTAATTCCAGAGAGTTAAATAAACAGAAAAAAAGAAAATGAGAAGAAAAACAATCTATGAAACCCAGATAAGAAATGGATCTTAAAATTGAAAAACACACAAATCCATGCATACTCCCACATGGATTTCATCAAAACAGAGATGAAAGAGAGGAAATCAACTTCGCAATGGAATTTACCTCGATGTATGGAAATTGGAAATGATTTTGGAAAATGGGTCAACAAAGTGGGAGAAATGCCCACGAAATGAAAGAGGCTTTGCTATACACCCTCTTCTATTAATCGGTTGAAGGGAATGCTAAGAAACATTAGCAAGGTGGAGTAGCTAACCCTTACTATAGGAATCTTTGTTGGAGATTGCTATGTGCCTCTGTATGGTTAAATGTAATAAATGATCTATTAACTTTATAGTTTTTATCAGTTTAGTCCAGAAACAAATTTTCTCTCCAAAGTGGTCTACAAGTACACCGTTTCCATATAAAAATGGGCCATTTAGCTAACTTCCGCTGACAGAAATCCACACTGGCTGCAAACGAGGTGCCACATTATCTGCCACATGCCATAAGCCTCATGCCACGTCATTAAAATATTAGATTTTACTCCTTTATCTAAAAATAACTTGTTAACCCAAAATTTATTTTATATTAGTGTTTTTATTTTTTAATAGAAATAAATATTTTTTCTTTAATTTTATTGTTGTTCTTAATTTTAATTATTTATTTTATTATCAAAATTTTCTCTTTATTGGAGACAATTATTTTGGATCAGATTGATAATTTACAAACTTTTTATAGTACATGATGATTTAAGATTTCATTGTTAAAAACACATAGTCAATAAATCATTTTTCTTTAACTTTTTAATTAATCAGTCCTAATTAAATTAATTAACATTGTAACTTGTTTCTGTTTTTTAACATTATAATTTTAATTTTCAAACATTTTTTTAGAAATTTTCATTATCCTTCAAGTCTACAACCAAAAAATATATATGATTACTTTTATTTTTAAAATTTAAAATTTCATTTATTTTATGTAATTCTAATTAATTTTTTAATTAATGTTTCATTTTGTCCTCTAAAATAATTTTTAAAGCATCATCTTTGTTGTATGATGAGGTAAGTACGCATTTAGTGTAGGTGAGTAGTGATGCAGCTAGAAAATTATTTGAGCGCAAAATGAAACATTAATTAAAAAATTAGTTAGAATTGCATAAAATAAATGAAATTTTAAATTTTAAAAATAAAAGTAATAATAACAAGAAGTAATGATATTTTTCATAAGTTTACGCTCTCTCCCCCGGAGGTGACATGGCCTCTTTACGCTATTAAAGAATTAATTATTTAATTTTTGCTCCTAATTACAGTTAATAAAAGAATACGCAAATAATACGAAAATGCTATAGTTATATATTATGAAACATTATAAGTTTATGGTATGACATATTATTATATAATTAATTTATTTTACTTAGAGGATCATCTATGATATTTTATGCATTCACTTAATTAATATCATGTCATACATATTTAATATTACATCATGATTGAAAATTTATAATTTTATATAATATTGTAATTATAATATTATCATAAATAATACACTGTCATTACTAGAAAAATCAAATATTCATGCCAATATGAATCAGTATGAAAAGGAAAATGATATGGGTACAGTCAAAATTAGCACACCCATTTACACCCTTCCAGTTCAATTGTAAATAAATGATTTAATGCTGTTTGACAACTATTTAGAAGTTATCCTCACTTATTACCAAACAAATTGGAAATAAGTGCCTCCCTTGTTCATCTTCTTCCCCATGAACCTAGCACTTTTCCAATACCTTTCTACCCATTTTCAACTACATTTCTCACACGAACCCATAGATATCGTCTATTCTCATTACCGAACAGAGTGGAAGAGGTGCCTCGTTCATCTTCTTCCGCATGAACCCAGCACCTTACCAATACCTTTCTTCTACCCATTTTTTACTACATTTCTCTTCCCCCCTCCCTTGTTGCGACCATCAGTGGTTTGAATAGGTACCTCTCAGTGTAGAACTTTCTCCCTTTTAAAAACTTTTATTCCTTGCATTTAAGGACAAGACTCATGTCACGCCCCAACCAAAGTTTAAGGCATAACAAATGCTACACATCTATTGAGTGACCCTATAAATGTGTAAGGCTATCTATCTTGAAAATCAATATAATCACCCATAAAAATTTAACACAACCCTACTCCTTCAATAAACTATTCCAATAATAAATCTAAATGGTCTCCAAAAACAGGCATAAATCTCTTAGCCAAAAAGAATAAAGTATTTAACAACTTATTCCATAAAACCAAATAATCTTTTAATTGAGTTATAATTAAATTCTTGCCAATTTATTCTAACGATCTCTTAGTCCCCGTGCAAATCCCAATGTTTAGATTTCTTCACTTGAAATGAAATGAAATTTAAAAAACGTGAGTTTAAGAAATTAGTAAGTAATATACTCATTCAGCACAACCAAATATAAAAATTTTTAAACTAAATTTTATTGTAAAATGAAATGATAGAAAAAAAAAAAAAAAAACTAAGTCCA